GGGGTCGCCGAAGTTTGCCGTCCCATGGCGTACCTCACTCCTTCTGATATCCCTTCTGCAATCCCGCCCACTGTATCCCTTTCTCTTTTCTGTTCCCATTCCTCCCTACGCCTTTTCTCCTCCATCCTGTCTCCATCCCTACTCATCCCTCGTGTAATTCTTCTTTCTGGTTCCATATTATCTTTGTACTTCTCCGAGGTTCGCACGGGTCGTCGGTAAGAGCGATCCTTGATACTGTCACGGCTGTCGAACAACTATCTTCTAGTAGACCGACGGTCGACGAACCTCGGCTAACTTGACGCTTCTAAGTCGATGTCTCACCCAACCAGGAGGGCGCAGACGTCGAAAGGAGTGTAACTACGGCGTACTTCGGCGTAGTTACTCTAACTGAGGTTTTATTCTACTGATGGCGATGTATCTCGATTGTATATAGCTATCTCTATGTCTTTCACTACTGACAACAATCAAGGATCGCTGAAGAACTTCAGCGATCTTCTCAGCTAATATTATCTACTCCTCCTAGACGTTCATCCAACCCTCTCGCGCTTTGACGTACTTCAACGCACTTCGTCCAACTTCCCCGAGCCCTCGGCCATCCTCTTCCTCCTTCGACTAACTCCGCCTAACATCGCCGCACTTCTGCTCCCATTGTCCCTACTTAGCCTAACTCCGTCTAACTTCGCCGTACTTCTGCTCCCATTGTCCCTACCTAGCCTAACTCCGTCTAACTTCGCCGTACTTGGTCTCAGAAGTCCTGAGTTACGTGTAGAGTAAAGAGGTTAAGACGTGATGGGGGTTTTGATGGTCAAAGGAGGGTCATTGTTGGTGGAATAATCGAGGTGTCACGACGTAGTTCGTGACAGAGACGTCCTCCGTCCTCTGTCCAAGTGACCGGAGGGTCATTTGGTAGACCATAATTCATCATCCCTGGTTTTCCACCGGGCAAGGGTCCTCTACCAGTCGATTGTGAGTAGCGTTCTACCGGGTTGGGCAAACTAGTATCCAATCGCATCGAATTCGATCGAGGGGGAAGCCAGGTCGTCTCGTGTTTGCGTCTAGCAGCCCATCGATTCGCTGCAATCATCGTTTCAGCCATCCGTTGGTTCTCCTCAGTCCCTATCACATGCTGTTTGAAATAGATCCAGTCCGATTTGGTTCGAGGGTCGGTGTTATTTACCACTACCACCTTCAGTAGCTCTTCCTTCAGGCCCTGTATGGCTGAGGCGATTTTCATTGCATCTGGTACCTTTCCAAGGTGTGTGGACCAAAGTTCGAAGTTGGCAAAATACTCGGCGGCCGTATCAGTCTGTCTTAACTCTTGCAATTTCCTCATAGCCGTACCTGCCATGTTACTATCTCCAAATTGAGTTCGTAAATGCTGAATGAATTTGTCGTAGCTCTCTAGCCATTCGGTCGAATTCCATATACTTGGATTGGTTATGGCCGGGGTTATAAGCATTTGAGGGGTGCCTCGAAGATACCCGTACATGAACAGGATCTTTCTGCGATCGGTGGCGTACTCTGCCCCTTTGAATTCGAAGTTCATGTGACATGCTGCAAGGAAGTTGTCCAATTCTCCTCGTTCTCCACTGAAGGTAGGTGGATCCGCACACCTGGTTCTTCCTGTTCGTTCGTTGTTGGTAAGTTTTGGCTCCAAACACGGCTTGTTTTCTTCGACTTCGATCAAACTTGCCCCTTTCGATGTGAGTATCTGTTGGTTCTGTCGGTCAGCTTTCATCGTAGCCAGTTCTTCCCTTAATGTATTTTGTTCCTTTTGTTGCATCGTCATAATGGCTAACAATTGTGACAACTGCTGCGATAATTCATTTAGCGGATCTGGGGTAGTGGTAGTAGAAGTGAGATCATGTGAAATGGTACTTCTCGAAGAACTTGTTGGTATTTCTTCCTCTGGGACCAGCCCTTGTTCCAACTCCTCTTTTTCTGGTATCATTTTCCGCGCTTTCCCTCTGGTGAGCATACAGTACTCTCCGATTCGACCCAAGGTGCGTAAGGCTGATTCTTCAACTTGTAACGGTACTGGAAACACGACGACTAGGTCGCAGGTTGGGTCGAACTCGATGGAGGTCTCGTGGAAGTCTAGGGGCTCTGGTGCTAATGGATCGTGTCTCCTCTGCAATCGATGTAGCCAAAGAATGATATTGAAGAATCAGCAAAGTTGGTACTTTGCTGATTGTACTATATACTGTCTACAGGTATCCGTCTCCTCTTCTCAGTCCTCTGCAAGCGTCCATGTACATACTCGGACAGGTGAAAAACCGCTTTGAGCAAACCCAGTGGGGAAAATCTCGAAAGGGGAAAACCCGTCCCTACCTACTGCAGCACTGCCTCCAACTCCCGCTTTCCTCTGTCCTAATCCGTCGAACTCGATAGAGTTCCCTCGATTCGTTGTTACCCCGTAACATACGTGAAAACCAGTCTTCGAACTCCGGATTGGCAAATACAAACGAAGCAAGCACTTCATTGACGACTTTGCCAAATGAACAGCTTACAACTTCTACTACAAACTCGTTCTTGGCAACTACATCTTCATCTTCCCACAATATAAACGTTCCAACCTCTATCCAAACCAGTCTGCTATTACCATTTACTATGAGTAGATCAGTTCAAACGGTTCAGGAACTATGGCAAGAGTATCTCTTTGGCATTAATGGTCGCCCATCAATCAAAAGTCAGTACGAAGATAACCCTAATGGACTGAAGAATGCAAGCGAGACCGAAAAACGTTTTTATAGGAGACGTATCAGCATTATTCGAGCAGTTCGACGTTTAGGTGAGACAAGAGCAATAGAAGATGTTGAAGCAGCGAAGATTTGGGATAAACATAGACATACTTTACCAAATCCATCTTTAGACGCCTTACAACATTGGTTGAGTAAAGCATCTGCCGAAGAACTCATATCTGTTTAGTATTGTACAGTAATGTATCTTCTCGTGTAGCATTACCTTTGCATAAATTTGATTCTGCAATTTCCTGCTAATTTTTGCTCATTTTTGCTTCTTTCTGCCAATTATTGCTCGTGAGTGCTAACTGTGCTTAAAATTTCTTTGTTCGTAGCCAAGGGCGTTGTAGAACAGTCAAAGGAGTATGAAACCTCACAACGGACATATAACCTGCAGGAATTAGGACCACGTCGTTGTTCAGAAAACGTCCCTGCAGGAATCAACAATTTGATCCGTTTTACGGTTTCATGCAATTAAGACGTGCTAAAAACGATAGACTTGAGACAGTGTAAATCAGGGTCTGTAAATCAACGTAATTTACGTCCTCAAACCATTAAAACGAGGGTATGCATGTCGTTGTCAAGGGTAAGTATCCTTTGGTTGTCAAGGAGAGCGAAATGGTCAATTTGCTGGTTGTCACATATACCAGGTCGTTGTCATGAGTTCTTCCCCACCTCTCTTCAAATTTTAACGTCTTACATTACTTTACCACACTGACATTTGAATTTTAAGCTTCTTGAAAAGATATCATGTCGAACACACCTATTTCTCCTGCTACTTTGAAACAACTTGTTACGTCTAAGCCCGATTCACGTTAGTTGCTGCTTTTTCAACGTTAAGAGGTTAATTAATTCTAATAATTAGCGGAGTGGAGCGCCAAATTCGATTGGGATGGTATCGTTGCTTATCCTCTACGGAAATGGTCTGATACTGGTCGTAATGAGGTTCTTCGGGTTGCAGCTGGAGATAAAGGTCCTAAGATTGGAATTTCTCCTAATGAATCGTCAAAAGTTAGTGCTTTCGAGTCAATTTTCGTCAAAGTTGTGTTTATTTGACTCAATTAGTATAAAAATTACCGGGAGGCGTATAATCACGCTGTATCGCCTAATTCTCATGTCAGAATGGGAACATTTAGCTGTCAGTTGTGTCAAGTTCGTCAAAATCGCGAGGAGTTGTGTTCTTTTGGCTGTGTAACCGTCGGTGAGCTCCCTACGGGAGCATGTACCGAATGTATCGCGAGGGGTACGACAGCTCGCTGTACTTTTGTCGAAAAGGCGGAATACATCTTGGATCAGGCGAGTTTTGCGGGAAATATGCGAGAAGAGCTGGGCAAATTGAAAGCTATCGAGATCCAGGCTGAATTAGCGAGTTAGTACTTTTCGTTCTTAAATATAACTGCAAAGCTAATTTTCTAGCAACACATAACTATCAATTGGAACCGAAAACTATCTTATATCAATGTCAACATATCAGATCTAATATTGAGCAATTGATGGCGATTCATTTGCCTGATATGGCTCCCGAAGGTGTTGTTGCCCCCGATACTCCCCGTAAGCGTCGTCGTGCCCCTGTCGCAGCAACCCCTCCCTCCGAAGACACATAAGTTGTTGTATATCTCTATATGTATGCCTCAATTACTCTTGAGCTCTCATCAACACAAACATTAGCAAAAATGAGCACAAATTAGCAAGAATTAGCAGCAGTTAGCAGGTTAAGACAGAGAAGAGTGAACGAGATGAATTGTTGGAACGCGTTCAGGTGGCAGCATGAGTCACAATTTCGTACATTCGGTTATCGACATGATACCCGGACCGGCCCTAGGACCCCCGTCCGGACTGACTCAGGGTCCATGTCGTATAACAAGTCAGTATTTCATTAAGAGAGCAGAGCAAACTATGATGGGTCAGTCACGTGACCCCATGATGCACCGGCGGGATCAAAATCCCTGGGCCTGACATTGGCCGCTTCCGGGTTGATTGCCTTTCTTTGCCCCTTCCCATACGTTCTGGATTTCAAACACTTACAACTGTTGTGCATATGTATATAGATCTCTTTCTCATACAATCCCCTGTTCGGTCTTGAAATCACATCGGTCTCAAGTTTGACCCCCGACCCGCTCCACATTCGCCTCCTCGCAAAGGTCGAGTCAGGTATCAGCCAACGTGTCGCGCTCCATGTATTCATCTCCATTTTGATATCTACCTCGCTCTACACTACACTTTCTTTCTTCCTCGACGTCAACCTCTAGTCTACATTACTCTAACTGCCGCCGACTGTACCCTTGAAGTCTGTTCAACCGCTCACATTCAACTTGACTCAAGCTCACTCGATCGCCTGCTTTCATCCGTCACATAGGACGTCACCATCCCGCGAAACCTACCAGACTTCTCGTCACGTATCCTAGCTTTCCCCTATCGTAACAGATCGAGGCAACCCTCCGCACCATCAGATCTACCCGCCCGCGAATAAACGAACCACCAATATCTGGATTCTGCTAGGAATACGACACCAAGCCGATATCAACATGTTGGAAAGTATACATAAAACAAGGACCCGTCGACGACAATTCGCCCTGATAGCTATCACTACAGCCATCTTTGGATTGTACGCGACCATTCACTTAGGTGGCGGAGACGCTTATATCGCTTTATCCCCAATATCGAAATCGGTACAGAACGGCGTTGAGACAGGATCTAAACTGGGGATAGGGGGAGAGGGGGGAAGATGTAAAGCTATCGATTATGTGTTAGGTAAATGGGAAAATGGGACTCAGTTGAAGGATGAACAGGATGTAATTGAGAGTTACGGTTATTCTGTGAGTCTGATTACGCCATTTTTTGATGTTTCTTTATTCCTTTCAAAAGAAACCCAGAGTTGCTTCCCGTTCCGCTTTCTTCTTCATATGATAATACTTCGGTCAATTCCTATTGTCTTTACCACTGTAGTGGAAAATTTACCAAAGAAGGATGAGGCTATTTAACATGGGAACAAGAGGGGTAAAACAATCCTCCGTGGTTCAAGGGCATATTGAGGGGAGTCAGGATTGTGACGAGCGAATGATGAAGAACGCCGTTGGAATCAGGCAAGGGTTATGAGACGCAAGAGGGTTAAGGCGGACGAGGGCGGGGCTGATATCAGTCATGGAGAGATCAAGATTGTTGGCCACCGAGATTTGATAAACAACAAGATACAGATTTCTCTCCAGCGGACAGATTACATCAAGCTTTGAAAAGCGCTTCACCGATGTTCATACCTAGGAACGGTTGTCATTTTGCGGATTTGAATTTGGAACGGATGATTGTGTTGATGTTACGGATGCCTGCTGGGTTATTGCGAGTGACCTTTTGCCGTTCTCCCATGGCTTCACCCACCTGTCTATTTCTCATCCCCTCATTGACTTGCTTCGTTTCTGAGAACTCGTCACTCCTCCTTTCACTTTCAACTCTTATCCTTCTTTCATTGGACAATTCAAATTCCACCTCGTCTTCTTACTCTAAATAACATGGCCTCAATCATGTCGCAATCTTCCCCAGTTCCAAGTCCCAGCACCTATAAATGCCAACTAAATGGGTTTCGAGCTAATTTCACAGTATGGCAGGCGATTCCATCTCAGGTCAATTCCAATTAGCCCTAAACAACCTCCTCATAGGTCCTTCATCCCCTGCTATATTCTCCGAACCGACTTGTCAAAGACGTACCATCTCCCTTGATCCTTCTCATCCTCTCATACCATCTCTCCTTCAATCAGCAGGTGTAACAGAATCACGTCTATCTTATCCAATAATGACTTGGTATCGGACCGTACATTTGGTAGATACGGATGAACTTGTCGTCGCCTTTAACGGATCTTCAAAACATGTATTGAGACCAGATATTTGCGTTTGGTTTGATTGGTTTGATCGGATGAGTGAAACTATCCGACAGGCGTTAGGGGAGAAAAAGAAGGATATGGGGAAAGGTTGGGGGACTGAACCTACTGTTTTGGTTGTTGATACTGGGCCTCATTGGAATACTGGGGCTTTAGGTGAGGGGTTGAATGATGAGGAGATGATGGAGGCTTTTGGACATATGGTGAGTCCAGAAGTCATTTTTAACGTTTTCACTTTCATGTCTTCAATCACTTCCATAGCGTTGACTCTGGTTCCTTGTGTTGTATTCTGTGTGTTTGTTCCTACTTTGACTTGCTGGAAAGATAGTGAAGAGTACTCCAGCGCGTTCGAATGGTAAGTCCAAGAAGTAGAAAAAGCAAGCTGTGAGGTAAGGCGGAATGAGTAATGTGATTTGCTCTTGAGTGGATCGTCACAGAGGCATCCTCCAGTTCCTGTCATCATCGGTGATGGGTCATGATATGGAGAGTTCAATGATCACACAACGGGCTTGGTGGCGGGGATTGTGGAAGAATGGAAGAGTGGAGGAATGGGGAAATTGGAAGGAAGAGAATGTGAGGGTTTCGCTAATATCCAGGTAACAATGATGGATCGTAAAATGCGTAATGTACCTTGGCCAATGGCTTCATATTGGCGTACCACCTCTCCTGGTCATGTAGGTTGTGCTATGTCACCACAATGTGAGTGGTTCACTATCCTCAATTCATATACCATATCCCCTTTTACGACTTACCATCTCCTCAGTGTATCTATGACGAGGGAACACCATCTTCTCGGTATTTCGTACTCCCACGATAGCCAAGTTTCTGAGACGTTGGCATTCGTTATCGAAGCAAGTGGGAATAATCGTATTTTGACAAAACGCTAATCGTGTTTAGTGGATAATGAAAGAGAAAGTTATTTGGATCCTTCAGATCCGGGACACTCTATGTTCAATTGGTTTGTCTTTCCTCCTCTCTCATCATCTTCCCTCTCCTCATCTTTTTCTTTTCACCTTTTTTCTCTCCATGCTCTCCTATCTCCCCGGCCTTTTTTCTCTCTTTCTTCAACCCCTCTAAGCCGTGAAAGAAGTCATCGCTGACTCATAGGCACCTGTTCCCGAGGATGAATGACCTCATTCGTCAAATAGCAATCTATGATCGTTCACCTTCAACTTTCTTACGTCTTTCACAGAAATGGCTATTCTCTTCAGCTTGGGAATGGGTCAGACCATCTAATCCACCTATACGTCTAGTGGATGTATATGACCTCAGTCTGAAAAGACCCGATGCGCATTTAAGACCAGGAGCGGACTGTTTACATTATTGTATTTCTGGTGTACCTGATGTATGGCAACGGGTGAGTCGTTCTCTCCCATTGTCCCATTTCCATTTCCCTCGCCCCTTCTCTTTCTCTTTCTCTCATCATCCAGTCTTTCTCTTTCTTTCCATGCCAACTATATGTCACGGGCTCTCGATTGTATACACGTTTTATTCCCTATATGCCTGTTAGAGATCTTGAGCTCGTCAGATGTCACCTCATACTTGGTTCCTTCCGTTTGCCTCTTGGTCGTCACACAATCCACGGTGGTACCGGTCCTTCGGCTGATATGCAGATGCTTTGGACTTTTATATTCGAAGAATCGTATAGTTTATAACGTCTTGTACTGTCCGATCTGCTCTTGGTGGCATGTTCTTCCTCAGACCCGAGCTCGGAAGAAAGGCGGGCGGGTAGGAGGGAAAGTAAGGAAAGTAAGTAGGAAGGAAAGTAGGAGGGAAAGTAAGGAAGGAAAGTAGGAAGGAAAGTAGGAAGGAAAGCAGGAAGGAAAAGTAGGAAGGAAGGAAGTTAGGACATTATTGGGTTACCTCTGCATACTTAGATCAATACATTCTATATCTCATTTCATATTCTTGGTCTCTTGTTATATTTTCTGAGTAATTTAGTAATTTAGTAAACTCCCCCACACTCCATCCATAAAGTTTAGTGGTTCATTTCCGGGTAATAGTGACAAATTGTATGCATCTAGAAAATCTCCTTCTTTTGCCTGTCCATTTTCACCTTTGCACCTTCTTCTATTCCACCTGCAATACCTGTACTCAATTGGATCTTTTCATTTATCACGAGCTTTAATCCTACATATCACACTGTACAGCCCTTTTTGTCATCTGTCCTGTCATCCTTTGATATCCTACTTTCAGCCTTCTCACCATCATCATCACAAAGAAGACATCTCCAACATGTCTCGTGGTCGACCTCCTAAGATTACAGCTACTATCCCAACGACGGAAAACGAACAAGGTGAGTTTATCACGTCAATAATGAGGAAGAACTATGAACTGAAACATTATTATCATCATTCCTCTTACTACTACTCTTTATGTCCTGACTCATCGATCACGGATAATCCCACTTGACATCCTTCCCTTCCCTTCCATTTTGACCTGATTTTCCCGATTGGTCTCATCCCATCTTGGACCATCCTTTCCCTTCTTCCTACATCTTTATCACTAACAACTTCCTCACAACTATATATTGACTGTTGAGTTTCATTCGTGTACTGAACTTCTCCAATATGAACTCAAACGATTCCGAACCAGTCATGAAACAAATCTGGCATAACGTAGTTGATACTCTACGACTTTTACCTTCTGTACCACCTCCAACACCACCATCAGGAGAAGAACAAGCAACACTTTCATCAGCTCTTGATAAACTTTCAGTCTTGATTTCCATGCGTAAAGGTGAAATCACTCAACAAAATAACATTCCAATAACAACAACAACGATAATACCCATAATTCATCCTCCTCCTATTATACATCCACCTAAATCATCAATAATGATCCAAAATACTACAAAACCTATCATACATCCACCTAGATCATCTTCAACATCTTTAACTCCAATTCCAATTCCTATCGAATCAATTCCCAATACACATGTTTCAAATTCAAACTCAAACTCAAATGGATTACATTTAGAAGTTTCATCAACTGTTGGTTCAACAACGAACACAGTGGGAATAGGATCAGGAAATTCAAATTTAAAACGTAAAAGAAGATTATCAACTCATTCTCCTATACCACCCATTTCAACAGAATCCGCTTTAACTTCTTTAGCTTCACCTAACGTAAGAGGTAATACACCTCTTTCAAGAGAAGCTACTGGAAAACAAAGAAAAGAAATGTACGCTGATCAATTACCTTTACAATCTGGTAGAAGAGTCGCTTTTAGGTTACCTGCTGCTAAACAGAGAGAAGAGGATGGTGAAGAAGGTTGGATTTTAGCTTTTGTTAGGAAATGTATTCAAATGGATAAAATGAGGTATGAGGTACATGATGCTGATGATGTTACTGCGTGAGTTTGTTGGTTTTTTCTCTTCATCATATTTCCATCTCAATGTCTTTCCAGCTCATACATCCTTAGTCAAGAGCACAAATCTTCTCGTGGTGATCTCTCCAATCGGAGGAGGGAAAAGGGGGGGGAGGGGGTTTTCTTTTCATACGAGGTCCGGTATACGGAAAACATTTTCAGTTGGAAAGGGTATTTTCCACCGAAGGTAGCAAACTCTCAATCGATTTTGTTTTCATGTTTTTTATAACATCTACGACTTGGAATCATCATCTACCATCCCTAACTCATTCAAAATTTGATGATTTCTCCTCAAATATCTCAAGACGAAATATTTTACCATCTCACTGACATCAAAGAACATACAACACAACACTTCGATCCTTGATCCCACTTCCAGATCCTACAGCTCCTTTAAACCATCCATCCAATCCATCTCAAACTGACATATTCCCTATCGGAACCCAAGTACTCGCTCTGTACCCCGATACCACAGCTTTTTACCGTGCTACAGTCATATCACCCGCCGCACCTGGAAAAAGAGGGAAACATGGAGGTGGTGAGAATACTGAATGGTATAAATTGATGTTTGTTGATGATGGTGAGAGGGTACATGAAGTTGATAGATGTTCTGTTGTTTTGGTGAGTTGTTACTTTGTTCTCATCATCCCATCATCCCTTCTTAAATCTCTTACCTATCTTCTTAACCCGCAGTTTATCAAGTTGAGTGGAGTACTATCCACTGGATAAACTTCTCGCCTGATCGGCATTCTGAACTGTCTTTTGACATATGAGCGGATACAGTCATGTGGGTGAAGGCAGGGAGAAGTAGTTTGGAAGTTTGGAGGAAGATGGTAGATAAAGTTGTTCATCGCTAATACTCAGTATCCAAATTGATTCTTGTCCATTTTCCTACGTCTTGTTGTTCTTTTTTGTTTGTTATTATTCAGATTTGTTCGACCTCTCAAGCGTATTTGACTGGATGGGTATTTTTGATACCACGATATGCTATGTATGCAACTACGGATGTTGATCCCAAGTCATAATCTCATGCACCATGCACCACTTAAAGTACTCTACATAATCATACAACACCGACTCGTATCATACAACATTATGTGGCGACACTGATTGTCCCACATTCGTCCGTATCATCAACCTCATGTCTCCTTACTCATATTTCCATCGTAAAATCATCGAGTCATAGGGTGTGTCGCATCCTTCTTCGATACATCATATCAGAGGAGCCGAACGAAGGTCTCGCCGTGCACCACCCCATTGGAAATGCACAATCATCGCACCATTGAAAGAAAAGGAGAAGAGAAGTAAAGGGGAGGAAAGAGTAAATGAAAAAGAAAAAGGAACAAAGGAAAGAGAGAGAGAGAGCTTCATGCAACCCATCTTTCAGGTCTCTCCATCCACTTTTTCCAACTCTCTGTGAATCCAATCAATTCAGCTCCTTCTAAAACCCTATGATCCCCACTCCATCCTACCGGCACTTTGAGAACCGCTTTCATCCCACCCAATTCCACTTCCCTCGGAGAGACATCGAACGGTTTAGAAGGTTGAAGCAGAGGTTCGAATGACCAAGTAGCTCGACCAACGGCACAAATAGCTATGTTACCAGGTGGTAGGACGGGGAGGAAATTTGTTGATTGACCTAATGCTCCAACTGAGGAGATTGTCAGAGTTGGGGTTTTCCACGGGGATTTCAACATCTTAGATGCACTATCAGAGGTGGAAGAAGAGAGAGTGGAAGTGGAAGATGAGGGAGGAAGAGGAGGAGATAAAGGGTTTTGTTTAAGATGATTCAGATGCATGTTGAGGTCAAGGAGGGATATTGAGGATGAAAGAGGAGGAAGAGAAGGAGTGACAAGACCATGTTTTGGATCTGAGATCAATCAGTATCACAAGTATTCGAAACCAAGGATGAACGAGAACTTACCAGATACGGCCACTCCGATCGTAGCCTCTCTACTCACTTCTAACCATCTTTCTCCTGCTTCTTCTTTAACTCTTGACCGGATGATGGGATGTTCGTCCATAGCTAACAATAATCCCTTTATCAATAAACTCAACAAAGTCGGTCTTGACCGTTGGTCATAGATTGACTTTCCGATGAGCTCTTGAGGGATATCTGAAGCTGTGTAGTTTTGTGCTGGTGTAGATTCGGAGGATCGAAGGTAGGGTATGAGAGATGTTAGATCCAACGTGTGAGAGTATCTCAAAACGTCAGCTTAAATGTCTCGACTCAAGTGATCAAGCTTTTGTGGGAATTGGCAATTTGGCAATTTTGTCAATTTTGTCAATCTAGTCCATAATTGAGAGGGAGGAAAAGAACTGGAGGGAAGGCAGGTCATACGACTGACCCGAAATGTGGTATGGAAGCTTGTTGTGACATTATACGAAACATTGTTTTCCTCGTTCTTCCCATTTCCACCCTAATTGTTTCCGGTCTTGTATCTATCTTCTTCTCCGCGTGAAAGTTCCTACTTGAAATGATACCCGCGGATGTTGTTTGAGGGCTGCTGGAGAAAGAAAACTCTGCTCTTTGAGTAGAAGCATGTTCCAAATCATCTTTGGTAACCCTTCCACCTTCCCCCGTACCTATCACAGACGAGATATCCAAACCCATTTTACTCGCTAAAGTTCTCACCGCCGGAGATGCCAAGACCTTTCTTCCCACCTTACCAGAAGGAGCATCACGAGTGATAGCTTGATATTCGGGATTCAAGGGGTGAGGTTTTGGAGCCGGAGGAACAGAAGGGAGGATGGCGGCTTCTCCTGAAAATCGTGCACCACCTAAAACATCTGCTGACCTATCGGAGGATAATAGACGTGATTCAAGAGCTGAGAATTGGTCCGGTATATCTGTCTCGTCTTTCTGTAACTCGTGCTCTTGCACTATTTCAGAAATCTGAGAGATGGGGGAAGAGGTTTGAGACAGGGATGTCGTTGTTTTGTTCTGCTGTTGCATGAGAGATTGGGTGGTAGATGTTGTGAATGAGTCTTGAAGAGTTTGTGGAGGATCTTGCTCGGGGGATAGAGATGGTGTTGGATCGTCCACATTTTCGGCAAGACGGATCTCACAAATATTCTGACCGACATGGATGGTATCACCTTCGGCCGCTTTGAGTGTCTCTACCGTACCGGCAGAAGGGGATGTGAGTTCAACTCTGAGAGTAAGTGAATAGTGCTTGTCCAATATAATCCTCACCATTCCACAGAGAGGACTAGTATGTTAATCTGAAGGTTCAAAGGAGGATGACGTGAGTCAGATTGAGCAAGGATCGACTGGTGGGGTAGAATTTCAGCAAAGTCACTCACACGCTCTTGTCACTCTGTACCTCACACAGAGGATCAAACTCTTCCACCAAAGCACCGGGTTTAACATACCATTTAAGAACTTCGACTTCGGTTATACCTTCTCCTATGTCGTGTAATTTGAAAGGGAGGAGAGGAGATGATCGGGGTGAGCTGCTCGACAGGAGTCTCTTCGAGGAGAGGAGAGTCCTTCGGGGTGATTGGATCGCATTTGAGCGGGTCAAAAGGTGGGAAGAGCAAGTATAGCGACGTATGAGGTATCGCGAGCCTACGTTCACCAATTTGAGGAGCATGGGACAACGTCTAGTGGGTGTACGAGGGTGAGAAGCGGATCAGGAGGAATGTTGACAGTGGATAGTAGGCTATCTGAGTTGATTGATCGGGCAGAGCTTTAACCGGTCAAATGCTACTTGTACACCACTCGCATACCAACCTCTACATCACACTCAGTTCACAGTATACCAATGGCGATGAGCTGAAGATTTACACATGTGAGCTGTACACTTCCCCAAGCATGACATGTTTAGGTACGTAGCATCTTTGCGACAAACCACAATCAGTAGTCACTGGTGTATGAAGCCCTGCCACGTGGCAATCGCGATGACGTCACGTGATCCCATTTCGGACATGACGTCTCACTAGCTCCGCTCCCTTCCTCACTCCCCCACCCTTTTTCCATCTTTCTTTACAACGACGAAACTCTATCTTTCCTCCATCCTATCCTTACCTCCCAACTCATTCTGTTCCCTGCTACGCTTTCAGGATGACATCCACGATCGTACCGAAGCGTCATCGAAACACTACAAAATTTTCAGATCGTCGTCCCAATGCCCGTGACACGACTTCTTCTCGTGATGCCAGTGAAGAAGATAACGATGATATTTCTGACGTCGGGTCCATCCTCTCTGTGACACAAGCTACACCATCGACACCGACTTCTTCTCCTCGTCCTTCTGGCTTACCTCCTCCTCCTTTACCACTTGGGGCCAGTATCTTTGCCCTTGGAGATTTACCTACCGCATCAGTTGCGCGTCGCGCTTTAAAGGAGAAACGTCTCGAGGCACTCAGTGGCGAGGGTAGTCAGAGTGAAGGTTTGGATAGTCCAACGTGAGTCATTTACACCTTCTCTCTATCTCTCCTCAGCGTATCCCAGACTATCTACCGTCGTACCGGTTCAACTAAGCATCTGTGTGGTCCCATTGATGGCTCTTTTTTCATGACGTAGCACCTTAGACCCCTCTTTTTTCCTGATCGCTGATGTGAAACTCAGTTATGACGGTGATGTCGAATCTACTTCTACAGTCGGTGGAACTCCTATTCATCCAAATCATCCAAACCATCCAAATCACCCAAACCATCATTCTCATCTTCCTCACGTTTCACACGTTCTTCATCCTCGTCGATCATCTTCTCCTCTTCGCGCAGGAGAGTCAGGATCTCTTTCGGCCATATCGTATGCATCTCAACGATTACCCACGCCTAAAGCCTCTCGAGTCAATTTGTCAGATGTACCGCCTCCTGTACCACGTCAACCGGTCGACGATGTGTATGTCCGCCCTGTTGATGTACCCGTCGCCGACAGCGAATCACTCGATCATCCTTTAATACCTGATCAAATGCACTTGAGTCCGACTCGGCCAGCAGCCGATATGGGTCCACCGAAAATGTATACAAGACCAGAAGAACTGAGTGAAGAGAATATCAGAGCGTTCGTACAACGTGCTATTGATGGCAATGGGATTGAAGATGGTGTCACCAGATGGTGGAAGACGAATTCACCTGAAGAAGGTAAGGTGGTGAGGGTGTATGCAGATGGAGTGTATGATTTGTTTCATTTTGGGTGAGTGTTGTATTCTATCATGATCTCTCATCCCCTGGACCGTGGACCATGTGTTTTTCATCAACGTCAGCCGCCATTTCCTCTTGTATGACAATTGTTTTTGACTGTCGCTGGCCTTGATGCTTTGATATTGTGGGAAGGAGGGAGTGGCTCACACCACAGTCACGCACTCCAACTCCGTCAAGCCAAACTTTCTTTTCCACGAGTACATCTCATCGTAGGCGTGTGTTCCGACGCCTTATGCGCTCAACATAAATCACCTCCCGCTATGACCCATGCGGAGAGGTGTGAAGCCGTCCGACATTGTCGTTGGGCGGATGAAGTTTTACCTGACGCTCCTTGGGTGGTCACACAAGATTGGATGGATAAGTGGGATATTGATTATATCGCTCATGACGAGGTGGTTTATCCGACTAAAGATTTAGAAGATGTTTATGCTTTTGCCAAGAATACTGGTGGGTGATTGTTCTTCTCATCACTACTTTATTGAATTCCCCCTTTACTTCTTCACTAGACTTCCTTTCACTCCATCACGGACTCTCTCTCTCTCTCTCTCTCTCTTCACGATCTGATGGAATTCTCTTACCCACTCTGTGCCATGAACTCCTGCTATAGGGAGAGCCAGTTTTATGCTCTTTTCGGGAGAACCGAGACTGATGCAGGTTGTGGTGAGGAAAGTTATGCACCATACGCCAGGTGATGATGTAACAAAACCAGATGAGAAGAGTGATGAAGATTAACCAATAGGGAAATTTGTCCCCACCCGTCGAACACCTTCCATATCCACGTCAGACTTACTAGAACGTATCGTACGTGGATACCGTGATGGATTTTTTGATTCCAAATTGGAGAAAAACGGACATCCAGAATTACAAGCGGGTGATATAGATTGGGAGGTAGCTTCTGCCGGTCGATCCCGAGCTAGTTCGTCGAGGGGTACACAGAGGGGTTGACGAGTGATAATTATATGCACCCATATCAGTTGTTTACTCTTGTCGTCCTTCTATCCCCCAGTATTACTCTCATGAGCAATGCAATCATGACTTTTTCTTCCCCTCCTCTCTCTCTCTCTGAGGCCCTGAGAACACCGTTTTGACTAGGTAGTGTTATTTGACCACCCTCCGAGTTACTGTGCACTATCATAATTGAGCAAAAAACCGAAAGACGAACAATGATGATAACTTCTACTTTTCATAATTCAGGGTGAGAGTAAAGTACCGATGCATGTCATATTCCTTTTGGATAGAGTCGATAATGATGCACATGTAAATGTCATAATGTCTCAAATTCACAACATTCCCTCCACACCCAAAAATACCAAAACCTTTGCTAAAAAACTAACTTTTCTATCTTTTCTTTCCCAAGTGTCCTCATTCACATCCCTCGCATGAACGTTCAAAGCTCTCAATTCTTTCCCTAATGACCGATGTAAGATAGGTGAAGAAGTAGAAATAAACAAAGAAAGTTCAGTATCGAGATTCAGAGATCTAGTGGAGAGGTTTGAACTTCCTATAAAAGTGAAGAATGGATCAAAAGTTGATTTCTTATTCAATTTGACATTTTGCTCTGACAAACCAACCGGTCGTGATCCACTATCTTCATCATTCACCGAATTGTTTTTCTCTGACGAATCGTTCAATTTAGTTTTTATGCCTTTGGGGGGTTTTCGTAAATCGTTTGATTCTTCGGACGAGGTGATCCAAAGACCTTTAGAATGATATGTCCATCCTTCCTTTTCCCATTCTCTCAATCTTACCCCTTCCCACTTTTGTTCTTTACCGAGTGTCTCCGTCTTCCCTCCAGAGGATTTCGTCTCATCATTATTGACCAAGTTTGAAGTTTGTCCAGATATTTTATCCTTGAGCACTTGCTCTTTACGATCCCTCCATACCCTCCCAGCTGATAGACAATCTCTCCAGAAATTTCTTTCTAAAAAAGTGTAACCTTCCGGTATGAGTCTAGAAAAACCTTTTGATCCGTAAAACCCATTAGCACGAGGAGAAGCGGCTATGATCCTTACTGGAGCAGGGGAGTTGATGATGGATTTTTTGTATGCTGGGAAAAGGGCGAAATATCCACTTGTGAGATCGACTTGAATATTTCTCTTGGTTGGGGACAAACCCTCTGAATCTTGTGAAACATCTTGAAGTTTGACCTGTGTCGAAGAATCATTTTGAATTGAGTCTCCGTTGGTGATTGAAGATGTAAGACTTGTAGATGTTTTTACTTTTGAAGGAGATCTTGAGGAAGATGCGATATGACTGTCCCTCACCGCATCCCAGACTAATTCCATGGCTTTTTCTTCTTCCCTCATTCCCAATACACCAGCTTGTATGACAGGCCAGACATATGTATCAGCATCTACACGCCGTGATCTGGAGGCGTTGGACGTTCGCCAGGTATTTTGTAACGCTGTGAGTGTAGCTAATGCGTGAGGACCAAAATGACGTGGATGGACGGATGGTGTTGGCCAGATGAGGGCGGCGGAGGAGTCTGACGGAGGAGTGGGGTGGGGTGCATGGGTGAGGGCAGGATGTTGATTTGAGCTTGAGGAAGGGGCAGCGAATTCAGGCGGTACAGGTGAAGATGCTGATGTAGACAATGGTGGAGAAATCAGTGAAGATACTGGTGGAGATATTGATAATGGTGTACGGATGGGCTGAGGGAGAGGAACTGAATATAGTTTGTTAACACTCGGAGGAAGGGAGGGGGAGAGACGGTATGAGTAATTGGTATATAATCGCGTGAGGGAAGAAAGGTATGATAAGAGAGAAGGGTGTGAACGGAAATGGATATATCGATCTTGTCTATTTGTGAAATATGATCTGGCGAGATTTGCTCTGATCATTAGTTTATTGTTAAATCTACCACCCTGACTTCCGCACACCAACTGTCCGAGAGGAAAACTTGCGCTCGAGCAGAATTCATATCGTTATCGCTTTGAGATGATTGAAATGGGATCTCAAAGATGGACTAGAGGGGGGAAGAAAGCTTTGAGCTGAAACAGAGATGACGTTGGCCATCATTAACTCCAAAAAGCTTGAGCAGTCAAACAGCATAGAAGTTGGAGGGAGAAAGAGAAGGATTATTAGAATAAGGAACAACGACTTAACTCACCCACTCAAAATAACCTCATCGTCTACAGCATACCATTTCCCATGCCAAGTTCCCCAACCTTCATCATATCTCTCAGGAACTATCATCTCCATGACCCCTCGTAAATTAGGAGATCGATATAGCCAAACTTCACATCTATCCCCATAAGCGCGAACGAGAGGTAATAGCATATGTGTTGTTGAAGGGGCGTTGGAAGAGGAGGTGGGGGATAGTCGGGTGGAACGATGATAATCTAGTATGATTGTCATACGGAGATGAGGTTGGGAGGAGAGAAGAGATTCAAGGGATTTTATCTGATATCAGATTATCTTTTTTGAGTGACACCATCCTTCCCCCAGTTCCAATGGCGTCGGATTATGGTGATATAAATGGGTTGTAACGATCAAGTGAGATATAAGACGAGAGTTTATTTGACCTACACCGAAGACATGTCTGATGGAGGGGAAGAAGAGATGCATAAGGGTTGAAATTGGGGAGGAAACCACTCGATAGAGTTTGTTGTGTCAGGAGATAGCAAGATCTGGAGGATTGAGTGCAGGGAAAGAGAGTAGAGGGAAAGAGATAAGAGCCAGGAGAGCATAGCATAAGGAAGGAGTATGAAGAGAGAAGAGAGGGATTATAAAAACTTAACTTACCAGCTCTTCCTCCTCCGTACCGATATACAAACTACTAATAACAACCCTCCTCTTACCTCTCCTTAACATATTTAACAACTCATCGTAAAATTCTTTAGGGGAAGAAATCAAATCAATCTCATCTCCTCTAGTAGGGAAACAAGGTAATGTTTCTGATAATGTTTTGTACAGATTATCGAACGATGGAGGGGAGTCGGAATGATGATATCGTATTCTGACTCTTGGTCGATTACCTCGAGTGAGTCTTTGAAATGTCCTCTGACCCAAGACAGAGGTGAACGGTCTAGTTTGAGAACTTGAGATTTTTTTGAAGAATTTTCCGATAGGCGAGGTCCCAGATGTCGAACGAGTCGCTGAGGAGAGTGATAAAGGTGCTAAAGAGATGAATGAAGGAAATCTCAAAGAGGAGGTAAGGGCATGGTGTTGAACCCCACCAGAGCTGGTTCGGAAACTACTAAGAATTCCAGTGTGGACATGACAAGGGAGACCGAACTTGTTTACTCCGTAGATACAACCCAACATGGGGAAAAACTCAGTATGGTGTAGACATGATGGAATGAAGAAGAAAGAGGGAATTCGGACAAAGATTGACGGAGATTAAGACTTTTTCGCACGGGTCGATCATGAGACTTTAACCAAAATTCATATTTTCTACCTTGTCCAGAATCAAGAGATTCAACTGATCATTCATCTACCAAGTATAACCCCATTTGACCCAACCTTGACACGCTCACCACCAATCTCCTTGGTCTTTCATGGCATTGGCAACTTTGACAAAACCGGCGATGTTTGCTCCAGCGACGAGAGAAGGGACAACACCTCCTTCTGCGTATTCGATGGCCGTGTGACGACATGTATTGTCTATGAGTCAGTCTTTACTATTTATCTGACGTGAGACAGGAAGTAATGAGTGGTTCATATAAGTATATGTGGACGAACAGGGGTAAGGGAAGATAGAAGTCAAAGAACAGGAGAGGACGAGAAGGAAAGAAGAAGAGGAAGATACTAACAGCAATTGATCATGATTTCTTTCAACTTTGCGTCGACTTCTTCAGGAGTCCATTTGAGCTATTATCAGTTTTACCACCTAATGAGCGTGAACGACCGCTATTCCAACATCAGACAGACCGTTGTGGTGGGTTTAGAGACTACACTACACACCGATTGGTGGTAAGGGACGCAAGAGAAGGATGGCACAAGTGAGACTGTAATGTAGATGGGATAAACAAGGCACAGGAGGGAAACTCACCCTCTGAGAATTCTGAGCCATCTCGAGACCCGACACGGCTACCCCGCCACAATTAGCAGCCTTTCCTGGGGCGTAATAACAGATCCCCTTGGTTTCCTGTAGCGAAGTGATCGACTTTCGAGAATCTTCGAATACGTCGATGGCTTCTTGAGTGCAGCCCCTGATTCGTTAGTACTGCCACAATAATTCTCCTCCATTCTCCATTCCCCATCCTCAGACTTGCCTCTCGCCTCTTGACTCTCAAGTTTAAGAATTGGGAAGAGAGGTAACGATGCGTGCTCAATATGAAAGATTTATTTTAGAACCGAGAAGGGAAAAATGAAGCCATTGAAACTCACATATTAGACCCTTCAGCGATATACCTAACACCGGCTTTCAACAAAGCTTTAGCTTCTTCACCACTAACTTCATTCTGAGTAGCAGAAGGTAAAGCCACATCGGCTTCTTTAACCAAAGTCCAAGGTCTCTTCCCTTCGTGCCAAGTATATTTCCCAGCACCTGAAAAAGCGGTCAAACTTTTACGTTCTAATTTGATTTGAGCGATATCGGCAATATCGGCTGCGAAGAATCCTTGAGGGTCCGAAGCTAATAAAGTTCCTGTGGAATCGGACAGTGATAGAACTATACCTCCTAATTGAATGACTTTGAGAGCTGCGTATTGAGCCACGTTGCCCGCACCGGAGATTAGAACACGTTTGTTTTTCCAATCGGTAGAATCAAGATCACGAAGCATTTCAGTGACATAGTAGACAAGACCGTAGCTGATTGTTAGCGAAGGGGTCGTCGAAGTAGAGATTATTCATGATTCTCGCAGACCATATACACCGACGAGTGCACTGTGCTGCTAACCATCGAGGTACAGCGATATCAGGGGAAAGAAGGGGAAGGTAGAAGATGGTGGTGGCGATGAAGTACACTAGGATCGTCCCACTCAGGATGTGATTCCGGAAATGTTGAAGTGCTAGAGTGCTGGAGTGGTAGAGGGGTGGGTGGAGGAGTGGACGAGTCAAAGACAGGAAGACTACTCACCCAGTGGCCTCAGGTCGAATGAACGATCCGCCCCAATTGGCACCTTTTCCAGTCAAAACACCAACAAACTCATTCCTGTATTTCTTGTATGCACCAAACATGAATCCGATCTCTCTTCCACCTGTCCCGATATCACCAGCGGGAACGTCCGTGTCGGCGCCTATGATCAGTCATTGATCTCTTCATCCAAAATGTGAAATATTTCGGCTAACTTCCTTCTCTGCGTCCATTTTCTCACCTAATCTCCTAAAATCAGTATGTCAATATGACCAGAGGTGGTCTTTGAGCCCGCCAGACGAGTGCCCCCTCGATTATACTCCTGACAAACATCCAATTTCTAACCCTTGATGCCAGAATTAGGAGTAGCCCAAAGACCGGAAGAAAAGAGATGGTTGTTGTGTGAACGTGATGAGACTGATATGATGATTGATGATTGGAATGAGATCAAGGAAAGGGAAAAAAACTCACCAATATGCCGGGATAATTCCTGCATGAAAGCATAACAAAACTTTCGGATCTCATTATCCGTTTTACCTTTAGGATCGAAATCTGAACCACCTTTACCTCCACCCATCATAAGTCCAGTTAAAGCATTCTTGAAGATTTGTTCGAATCCCAAGCTGGACAATCAACTTCAACTCACTCCATTCTCTCCCATCTCATCCTGCCTCCTCCTGAAGACTGAAGCTTCCGCAGTGGAATTTGACGAGGGACTTTCATATAATATACTCAGATTCATTATCTCCCTCATCTTGTCGCATTGGGTCGTTACGACGAATTCCAGCATATCGATGGAGTATATCTCACTTGAAGTGGAGAGAGGAGTCAACTTCTCCAAAGAGACGGAATGCAGTTTAGACGTTTAGGTAAGAGGAAGAGACGAGGTGAAATATGAGAGTGAGATAATATGACTTATGGGGGAGAGAGGATACGTACAATTTAAGAATTGATAAATTAACAGTGGGATGTAATCTCAAACCACCTTTATAAGGTCCTAAAGCCGAGTTAAACTGAAAGATCAACTGACTACTCTTCCTCTCTCTCAGAATAACAAAAACCTTCCCTTAAACCAACTTATCAAATATGATGGATGAGCAGACATGAATGAAGTGAATGAACATATCAAATGGGATGAATGAACATATGAAATGTAGTCAAGTAAAGTACCCAGAGAAGAGAAAAAATGAAGATAGAGTAGAAACTCACTTGAACACGATAACCTCTATTAACAGCTAAACTCCCATCATCTTTTTCCCAAGTGACTCTAAATTGTAAGATCCTTTCTGGGATTTGAACCACTTCAAGTGCTTTCCTATATTCGGGATGTTTAGCCAAGAACTGAATATCAATTTTATACTTCTTGGTTTTCTCTGATATCATATTCAATGAAAAAGGAGAAGAGAAGGTCGATATCATATCCAGTGAAAAGGAGAACGGGAGGTCGATATCATATCCAGTAAACAGGAAATGGCAGGTCGTATATTTACTCACAGGTTCAAGAGTTACAGTAATCTCATTAACTGCCTAAAAGATCAACGATCATGACGTTTTGATAGATCATGATGATAGATGTATGACTGACCTGTTGAAATTCCGGTTCTGGGGCTAAGTTTGCCATCTTCACACTTTGCAACTTGTCAGATCGTTGTTCTGGGATGGAATGAAATATGGGTAGGTATGAACAGTTGTTGAAGAAAAAAGTCGACTCGACGTTCTTGATATATATACAGTAGAGTACTCGTACTCGTACTCCGCCCTTTATGCTACTTTACTCCTCGCTTTCTCGGCCGAAATAGGGTTCAAAATACGATTGGTTACCGAGTTGTCTACTACGGTAGTACGCGGTGGACATGTGAGCAGGCTAGCAGGCAAAGGTACTCTCCTCTCGGGGCTTATCTTATCTCTTCCAGCTCGACCAATCAGCTTCCGGCTCGGCCGACCAATCATATCTTTCCGTTCCTCCCCTCCCATCTGCTGCCTGCTACTTGCATACCTGCTACCATGCTACCTGCGTACCTCGAGCGGGTCACAGCTTGTGCTTGCCAATGCAACTCAGTACCCAAGGTAAAAAATCAAGAGATAAATGTTGCATACCCAACTATCATACACCATGAAATACCCTATTGACTCTTTCAAATTACCATTCACAGATGAGGATTCGTACCAAAAGAAGAAGAAAATCACTACTTGCTACCGGCCACTTTGGCTTTGACTGCATGGTCAGCTTGTTCCCACCAGACGATATACTTGTGCGGGAGAGAAACGAGGGAAAGGAGAAACCCACTTTCATCCACAACACCAGGATCGGCAATAGAAGACAAATCTCCCAACTGATCTCCTTCACCAGCTACGATTTTCCTGAGAATCCTGCGCATCTGCAAGTCAGCACTGACCCTCCCTTCCACAAAGCTTCTCCTTCATCCCGACTGACTGGACAGACGAGTAGAAGGTACTCAAAAATGTCCAATACCTAACCGTACGCAATGATAATACGACGAAGTGGAAGATGTTACAGTAGAGGGGTGATTCGTCCTGTCAAGGACATCACCAGTACTTGAGAGGGCGGAGATGACAGGATACGAAGGGGGAAAGGAGACGCCGTGGACAGGGTAAGCGACAGGATAGAAGAGGCCAGGCGGTAGGGGAAGAAAAGGAGACAGGATGAGACAGTGTAGATGCAGAGGGGAGGGAGAAAGCAGACAGGAAGAAAACGAAAAAGACAAGTATCCAACAAACTCACAATCTTCCCCGACCGAGTCTTTGGCAGATCCCCGACCAAAAAGATCTTCTTGGGAGCGGCAAAAGGTCCAATCACTTTCCTCACCTGTATTGCCAACTCTTTGTTCAAATCCGCCTCTTTAGTCGACACAAAGTCAAACTCCGGTTTCATAGTGACAAACGCGTACACCGCCTGACCGGTGATTTCGTCATGAGAGCCGACGACGGCAGTTTCGGCTACGCCTTTGTGTAGAATGAGAGCGGATTCTACTTCGGCGGTGGAGAGTCTATGACCGGAGACGCTGACTATTAGCGCTTTGTCTCGTATGATAGATCCACTTTAATGTGGATGTTTGGGAGTGGGTTAAGGGAAGAAGTAGTGATAAGGGAGGTAGGAGGGATCCGGAGGCGCTGGGAAACGAGGGAAGTGGGTAATGGAGGAGGAGTGAAGAGAGGCAATAGTAAAAGATGATAGCTTAAATGGGGTTTTGGGAGGAAATTTGACGAATGTGAGATTTAGGGAGGGATCATAGGAAGAAAAATCGTCACCCACTTGATCACATCATCCACCCTCCCCTTGATCCACAGATACCCATCATGATCCCTAGCTGCACCATCCCCAAAGAAGAAATAGCCAGGATAAGGTTTCATATAAGTCTCAAGATACCTCTTATGATCCTTAAACACCGTCCTTGCGATACTTGGCCAAGGATTTTTAGCTACCAAAACACCTTCCACATCATTCCCCTCCAACCTCTGTCCAGTCTGAGGATCGATGATGTCCAGGTCGTAACCAAAGAATGGGAATGTCGCACTTCCCGGTTTAGTAGGAATGGCTCCTGGAAGAGGAGCGATGACATGAGAGCCAGTTTCGGTCATCCAGTAAGTATCGACAATGGCACATTGGTTCTTTCCTGCGAAATCGTTATACCAATGCCAGGCTTCTGGGTTGATGGGTTCTCCTACTGTACCCAAGACGCGGAGAGAAGAAAGATCATGGTTCTTGACGTGTTCTTCACCCATTCGACGGAGAAGACGAATGGCCGTTGGTGCAGTGTAAAGATGTGTGGCTTTCCATTTGTCGACAAAATCCCAGTATCGAGATGCGGTGGGATAAACGGGAGTAGATTCGAACACTGCTGTGGCTACTCCATTGGCAAGAGGTCCATAGACGATATAGGTGTGTCCGGTGATCCATCCTACATCGGCCATACATGCGAAACGATCTGCGGGATGGACGTCAAATACGTATTTGACGGTGATCAGCGCTCCGAGGAGATAGCCGGCCGTACTGTGAACGACCCCTTTGGGTTTGCCGGTGGACCCGGAAGTCTGCAGGTCAGCGAAATCGGAGTTTCTTCCAGGAAGTGTTTTTGGAGCGAGGGCCTGATCGAGGGCGTGAAGGGTTATGACTGAAGGAAGGGAGGAGTCGGGAGGCGGGGAGCCGAGAGAAAGTGGTCAATCATGACAGTAGATAAGAGAAAGAAGCATGAGACTCACATAGAGGATGAATAACGGATCCTCTGCTGACATATGCTCACACGGACAGACAGCCGGAACTTTTGCGCACTCCTCGTCCCACCAGAAATCACGTCCTTCCGTCATGGGCACCTTGTTCCCCGTTCGGCGCAAAACCAACACCTTTTGGACTTTCGGACATTGAGCCAGTGCCGCGTCAACGACTATAGATCAGCTTGCATTGATACTGTATCAGAGACGACTGACTTTGCTTCGTGGCAATCGTCTTCCCACCTCTCTTCCCCTCGTCCGTTGTGATGACAACTTTACACTCGCAATCGTCCACTCGGTCTCTGAGAGATTCTGCACTGAAGCCCGCGAAGACGGCAGAATGGACGGCACCAATCCTTGCACAAGCCAGGAAAGCTGCAGCAGCCTGCCATGTCATGGGGAGGTAGATAGACACGGCATCACCTTTCTTGACTCCCCAGGAAAGAAGGACGTTGGCGACTCGGCAAGTCTCACGGTAGAGTTCGCCGTAAGTCACTTCACGGGATTCAGATGGTTCGTCGGCCTCATACATGATAGCTACACGACTGGGATCGTTGTAAAAGTGTCGGTCTAGGCAGTTGTAAGCTGCATTGAGGGTACCTTCGGGACTGATATCAGCATCAAATGACCGCACGTCGCAATCAATTCTGCTACAGGCCTCTTCTTCGTGTCTTGCACAATCAGAAAACTACCGGAGTCGAGGTAAAGAAACAGGTGGGGATGTTTCAGCCACTCACAACCATTGAATATCCCCATGTTCAAATCCTCCCGCTCTGACAGTCTGAAAAGGAGTATACCAATCCAACTGTTTCGCCTGTTCCCTCCACCAGTCGTCCGAGTTTGGTCCGATAGTCTTTTCGTATTCAGCCAAGTAGGCCTTGTAATCCGGACCGATGTGAGGTTTGGGTCTACCCTCTTTACCCTGAAGACGTGGGGGAGGGGGGAAGATATCATCCGCTTCGTCGACGGAATCAGGAAGAGGGTGTACTTTGTATTGAGGGTGTGACATTGTGTTTTGTATGTTCTTTCGTTTGTTTGACAGTTGTCGGGCTGACGGTGAAATGTTAAACGCCCTTGGTCCTGTCGATGATCTTATACGTCGGTATGGTGATGATGTGGTGAGTTGGCGAAGCAATGAAGATGTTTGATATATATACGCAGCGGAATGATGGTAAATATACCTGTTGAACACTGGAGGATCAGCATGTCTCTGATTGGAGGTGAGCCGAGGGAACCCGGACCGAGTGAGAGACGTACGAATGTGGCGTGGAGTGACTGACACAGAGTGGAGGAATGGACAGGCAGCAGGTGGTGGAGATGGATGGACAGAAGAGTGTGATAGAGTAAGGTAATTGTAGTATAGGCTTTAGGCTACAGGCTGTTGGGGGGGAAGAAGAGGAAGGAAAAGCGATGGGGCACCGAAGAGCTCGGTCCCTTAAGAAGGAAAGCCAACGAATGCACCCGGTTATTCCGGCTATGAATTCCTTAACCGAGATCCGGTAGAGATTAACCGGGCGTGTCACCCCTTCCCTCGATCACTCTCACTACTCTCTCACATCGTCTGCATCTCTCTACGAGTACGAGTACTATAAGCTGTATGCAGTATGTACAATGCTCTACTCGTTCCTATTCAGCAGCTTACAGCTCACTCTCGTTGTCATCATCATCGTCCCAGAAGACGAGCGTCCCACGAGTAGAATGTGGGAAGCTTTCTATATAATCACCCCCCTCAAGGCTGGATCGTCGTCCGATCGTGACGGGATTCCCCCCCATCGGTTCACGGCGGGAAGGAAGTTCAGGAGGGGCCGTCTGGGAGCGTTCAACAGGATATGAGACCTTGCTGTCCCAAATCTCCGTACCCTGTGGAAAAGAGTTACTGGGCAAACTCTCTAGAACCGTCCCTGGTGCAGGTCCCGCCTGAGAACCTTTTGCGGGATCATCACCTGTAGACTGAACCTGAGTCAGAGAGGAACCCGTAGATCCAGTAGAGTGGGCTGTATGCGCCTTATCTGTCTCCTCTGAGTTCTGGGGAGCATCAGAATTGATGTGTCCCCGCTTGGCACCCTTTTTACGCCGTTTCTTCCTCTCCCTTTCTTTGATTTTATTCCTCTCTGCAGTGTTCAACCTGCTTGTGATATCTCCCAAGGTCAGTATGCCACGCTCTTGACTATCCTTCCACACGGCGTTGTAATGGTCCAATGCTGTCTTCCCCCATGCTTCTACCCTTGAGAGTGTCTCCAAATATTTAGGGTCCAGTGAACTCTTAGCTCTGACTGGGAAACCTGTATCCGGCTTTTTGGTGGCCAACTGTAGGATAAAATTTGTCAGTTTCAATCTGTGTCTAGTTGTCTCCAGCCTGTCCAATGATCTCCCTATCACTTCGTCGGATTGTACTAACATCTTTTCAGTGACAGCCCAGAAAGCCATCAGAGCCGAATCATACCTAGCACGTTTTTGAGTATCCGGAACGTATTCCACCCTGGAGAAAGCGAGATCAAGTGTGGTCTTGCGTGTGAGACGCCTCTGACTCAAAAGATCTCTGACGCCCTCTGTCAGGAAGTCAATGTAGCTCAACTGAATTCTGACCTTCTGACGGTAATCAACCCACTGGTCTTCATTTTTATACATCTCAACAATCACCTTGCGCCGTTGACTCCGACCTTTCAGTTCTTCAAGGTAGAGTATGCGTGCCTCCTCCTTGACAGCTTGCTCCAGACCGGATATCTCCTCTACTTGTCCTCCAAGTGTTGCAGCCGCCCATATGTTGGGTGGATTCTCGATTGCCCCTGTAAAGTCCTCTAAAAACTGGTGGGCATCACTCTCCTTGCGTCCCAAAAAAGTAGTAAAGAGCTCCACCATAAGCTTCTCAACAAATGGCCCATGCTCAGTCAGAGCTTTCTTCACATCGCTATGGTTGGACAAGAAATTACTCCTCAATTCCCATCCTGTTGATGTCTTTTTCGATTCGATATGAGTTGAAGTAGTATTCATAGTGTGCGGTTCGACGATCTGTAATATCCCGAGGTTGTAATCTGGCTTCAAGGAGAGGGAGGGAAGTTGGGTTATATACTTCTGAACCCCTCCTTCCTCTTCTTCTCACTCCACTGCCTTTTCCTCATTGGGGAGTGTGGCTTCCCACCCGGTGACCCGGGGAAAGTATGACGCGTAACAAGGGAACGTGTATGACCCAATCTTCTGGCGCCATTCACAAATGGCCCACTACATGGCTAGAAGACTCACACTGCATGACGCGTGCGAACGTGGGAAACGGGTAATGTAGGCAATTTCGACTTCTTGAAGCCGAAACCATTCTCCTGATGATTCTCCACCTTCTCACCGATACAATATGTCCCCGAAGTCTCTTCCGATCCTCGACATGTCCATAGTCCCTGTCCAGTCAGAAACTTATAGGTTCCGTGCGTACGCTACGGGGAAAGGCCGGGATTGTCATCCGGTGGAAAGACAACAAACCAGATGACCAAGGAGCTGTATCAGTCTTGTATTTGGTCACAACCTATTATACTCTTCACACCCGTGTCACGAACTACATCGTGACATCCCATACACCACCATCACTGTTAGCCAGTAGAATTGGCCCGCGACAGCCGAACAGTTACTAGGATTATTACCCCTTCCGGTCAAACCTCCCTTTGTTCAACTTATTCCCTGAACTTTATTTGATTATCTCGGGTTTGCTGCGTGTGAGTGGAATGTGACAAGTATAGAGACATGTAAAATTGATGCATGCTCTTTTTCCCTCTGTATTATCATCTAATCACCAGTAAACATGATTAGGCCGACGATCTCATCCCTCCGTATCATTGGCCGGCTCATCCTCCTCCTCCGTACCATCAACCTCCATTTGATCATCATTGTCATGTCTTTCCCTCATGGGTATACTGCTTGAGCCAGAGGTGAAAAATCTGGCCCCTTCAATTGCGGCTACCAGTAGCGTCCTTGCTGCTCCCAACGTCACTTCTTCCGCTTCAGTAGGAGGCTTGGTTGCCGAGGACTCCTCAGATCTCCATACTGCCGATTCGAAGGTGTCACAAAAATCTGCTCGTGCTATTTGCGCTTTTCTATCAGCCGCAATGAACTCGCGACTATGCCTCGGTGAATTAGGATCAGGATCATACATGATGTGGGAAGGTGGGGGAGCCGCCATGATGGTTATCGTTCCCAACAGGGGCCGCACTAAGTTACTTATCACCGTTTGAAGATACTGGTCGTTTTTTTGAAGTCCATATGTTGCAGCATTTGTCTCCTCCATGCTGGCTAATACCTGAACTTCGAGCTGTGATGTCAATGCCGAGACCGCCTTCAAACCGTTTCTCAGTCGGTCCATTGCTTGTCTGCGGTCATAGTCCATAGTACCACTCAACAGCACAGCTGCTAGACTTTCTAGTGCTTGCTCTCCTTTTTCAGATAGATTGTCCAGGTCAACTATAGACTTGTGACATGATTCACAAATACCATTGAGGTTAAATAGCAGGGCTCTGACATATGTATGTTGCAGAATAGATATCACTGTAGTATATGTTGGTAGACCATAATTTTGTACCAGAGAAGCATGCCTCTGAAGGGCAGATTTAATGAGCTCAGTCTCCCTCCGTATTGCCTGTCCCAAAGGTCTCAACGCTTCAGGATACTGACCTAGGACGGTTGAATCCCACATGTTTGAGGGGAAAGCTACACCAAGGCGCGTTCCGTTTAAGTTAGGTATGGTCTCTGTACCATGTCCTAAACAGTTTGCAATAACTGTTGCCTCTGAAGGCTGTAAATTCATTAGGCTTAGGAAGTCGCTTGTAAGGCTCCAGATGCCAGCATCGTCTTGCCACAGACTAACTTTAACATTGTCTGGGGCAGGGATTTTGAACCAATATTCAGGAGCAACACAATTCAGGCTCTCATTTCATCTACTTTGCAGTTGAAATAGGGGTTGTTTAGCAGGTCAATGTTGCTAGAGCTGCTCTACACGTTTGACTGTCAGGTGTGAACAGGAGAATAATTCAGCTTACTGGATTGACTTGTGGAAAGAAAGAGGGGAGGCGAAGGATGTTTGATAGATTGATAATCTGGCCTTCCCATCTGTTGAAACCCCTTTTAATTAAGCTTTGAGGCCTTGAATCATCCACATAGCCTTCATGTTGCTAGTTGCTACTTTCAGAAGAGTAGATAGCCAGACCCTGATAAGCAGTGTGGGATCGTGGGATCGTGGGATCGTGGGATCGTGGGATCGTGGGATCGTGGGATCGTGAAATGGTGAGATGATGACATAGTGAAATGTGGGACCGTGAGACTTTTGAAAGAGCAGGGGGAAAAGACGAGCGGATTTGTGTACAATATCCCAAGTCGTCATGTGTCATGAATGCAGTAAGGGATCTAAGGGACCTGCATCATAACGTCCTCGCTAAAAGGCTCAATACTCGACATCTGCCTGGTAGATGTCGAGTTCCCTTATAAGGCGTACTCAGTTCCTGACATCATGCCATGCCAGAGGTAGAATAGAACTGAATCAAGACAACCGTTTGCGTCTGAATAGATGATATTCCAGGAGGGTATACAGCATGCATTGATCCCGCATACCACTACTACCTATCGGACTACTTACATCTGTAGGAGCATGGAGACTGAGTTATGGAATCCGGGCAACAATAAGACATGTAGACAGAATTACGTGGATCCAAGGTGAAAATCAGCTTCTTACAGAGTAGATTGGTATCCTCTAGACCAGACAATGTAGGATGGCTGTGTCACTAGCAACAAAGGGAGAGAAGGTGAGAAGGTAAGAAGGTGAGAAAATGGAAACATGAGAAGATGTGAACGTGAGAACGTGAGAATTCAGGATCATTGAATTGTAGGACCTTCGAGAGAGTACACGGTGTGAAACTGACGGGTTCAAGGAAGATACCAATCAACAAAGGGAGGAACACAGCATACATACATCTTACCTATTACCCCTATTTCTAATATTTCCCTCATACAAGACAAACGACAAACTCGAATCTATCTTCAATTTCTAGAAATAACATGGGGTGTGGACATAGCGGACCGAAGGAGAATCTTTTGTACTGTTTATTCCCCCGGCTGACCTGCTGACTGTCAGGATCACGGGTACCTATAGACGGGTTCCTCAAGAGTCGTACACAGAAGTCATACTCCACCTACCCGTTCCCGTCCCCGTCTTACTAATCCCGTTACGGCGTCCTCCGTTCTCCTGTCCTGTTAGCCGATAGAATCGGGCCAGGACGGCCGAACCGCCGTTAGATAATTACCCCTTCCGTCGAATATTTCTCCGTTCAACTTATCCTCTGAACTTTATTCGATCGTCTCTGGTTTTATGCGTATGAGTGGAATGTGATAAGTATAGAGACATGTAGAATTGATGCATGCTCTTTTTCCCCTCTGTATTATCATCTAATTATAAGCGTTAACAGATTAACAGTCGGAAGACCACATACCTCTGTGTATAATATAACAAAGGCAAGTTCCCATTTCTACTCTCCTCATAATGACCTCTGTGTCGTCTAAGATCTCTCTTGAGAACCACCCAAAGTTATCCCACGATCCAGCATCGTATGCTCCGTGGAGGAAGTCGATCGAGGTGTATCTACAGATAGGTGACGTGTGGAATATCGTCACAGGTAATGATACCGAACCTGGTCGCGTAGGGGTTAGATCGGCAGTTGAGAGGGCGGGATCAGTACCTCCTACCACGCCCGTCGAAGGGCAAGTGGTTGGTAGAAGGATTACTGGAGAAGAGTGGAAGGAATGGGAAAAGTGGCAAGCGAGGGATAATAAAGCGCCGGGGATGATCAAGGGAACAGTGTCGGATGCTGTGATGCTTGATATATCTGAGAAGATGTCAGCTAAAGAAATGTGGGACTACTGCATAGCCCTGCATGTAACAGCGACGATCGAGAATCAAAGGAATGTCCGTCAAGCGTTGTTTAGCTATGACTTAAGGGACGATGTGACGGCCGAAGAAATGGCCAAGCATGTAGAGGATTTCTCGAAGACGATGTCCGAAGCGAGATTGGTAGGGTTGAAGTTTGACTCACAGGAACGAGCTGGGTTATTCCTCAACACCATTCTAGCACCATCCTACAGGATCATCCAGATCGAAGTAACATCCCTCATAGCAGAGGAGAGAACTTGGGAAAAGGTCTTATCGATCTTCAATAAAGAAACGGCGAGACGTAAAGCGCACCCTGTTGGCAGAACCAATAGGAAGGGATTCGCGATGTTCGTCGAAGGAAATAAAGGAATGAGGGTGAACCGAGATAATATCTCTGATGGTCAGCCCAGAAAAGAAACCAGAAAGTGTTATAACTGTGACACTGTAGGACATCTAGCGAAGTACTGTCGTAAACCTAAAAGAGAGGATACGAACAGGAAGGAAAACACAGATGGAAAGGATGGAGGTAAAAAGAAATGGAAGAATAATAATAAGAATAATAAGAAAGGACATACGGTCTCGAAGGATGAGAACCAGTCCAAGGATAACTCCAAAACCTCCTTGATGTATTCGTCATTGGATGGTGAACATGAGGCGTGGGCCGGGATGGCCATGTCGACAGAATCATGGTTCGATGATGACGAAGGGTACACGAGTAATATCGTGTGGCCCGAAGAAATTGAAAACCCGTGGGTTGAGGATAAGGATAATGAGTGGGTGGGATTAGCTACAGAGTCTAATGATGTAAGCCACACTCGTGTAATTCCCACCTGGGTAGTGGACAGTGGTGCTACTCACCATATAACTCCTCACAGGTCGATAATGACGAACATTAAAAGACTAGTAGAACCAAGAGTGTTCGGACTAGCATCTGGCAAGTCAATGACGGCTTGGGAAACAGGTGACATTAACCTCGAACTAGATTCAGGACAGAAAATGGTACTGAAAGATGTACATCACGTCCCCACAGCAAAGATAAGTCTTCTCTCCCTCTCGAAGTTACTCTCATGGGGATGGAAGGCGAATCTAAGCAGCGGTGGTGGATGGATAGGTAAAGGTAAAGAGAAACTAGGTTTGAGGAAACATGACTCACTGTGGTCGGTACGATTTGGCAGAGCAATGTCTGCCACGATGATCGTGATATCGACACCGAAGGCGACTTCACCACTTGAATCTGAGCATCAGCGACTCGGACATATAGGTGTAGATAAACTAAAGAGTCTAGGTAGACAGGGACTATTGAAGAAGGACTGGGACACTTACAAGAACGTTCCCTTTACAACCGATAAATGTCCCGCCTGTATGCAGGCCAAGATAACACGTCTACCGAAGAATAAAGAAGCACCAATGTTAAAAGGAGATGGTGAGGGAGTAGGAATGGATGTCGATATTGCTGGCCCGTTCGGTCCGGCGATAAAAGGTGAACGATATTTCTTCGTTGGTGTAGAAAGGGCGAGTCGAATTGTGTTCGCCGTACCGATAACGACGAAGAACGAATCGTCAGATATCGTTCGACAGTGTATCTCAAAATTAGAGAAACAGCTTGGTGAAAGGGTGAGGGTGATTAGGTCTGATGGGGGAGGTGAATTCGATAGCCTCGATATGAGGGAATTCTACCTATCAGCAGGGATCAACCACTACATCACACCAAGATACACACCAGAATTAAATGGAGTGGCGGAAAGAATGATACGTACCTTGAAGGGGATGGTATCAACGATGTTATTCGACTCAGGACTACCGAACGAATATTGGTCCTATGCTGTCAGATACGCCGCCATTATAATTATGAAAACCTCGATTGGTGTCAGTGGTAAATCAGGCTGGACATCACTCACAGGAAGAGACACGAACTTAGATAGCGTGTGGAGATTTGGTGAACGATGTTTCGTTCAGATACCAAGAGAGATAAGGCTGAAGTCGAACTTCACGATACCTAGGGGTTCGTCAGCCATTATACTAGGTCAGGATGAGGGTGTGAGCGGTTGGATCGTTAGAATGGACGGATCGGGACGAATCGAACACTCACGAGACGTTCGTCGCTCGACAGGACGAATGGTGGCTACTAGAGAGTCGCCAGATGTCATCCAAACCCCTCTTGACGCCATCGAAGTGGACCTAGACCCCGTCGTCAACGAAGAAATTTTCCCTGACGACCGCTCAGAAAGTGGCGAACAGGAAAATATCGATAATGAACAAGGAAATGATGTCGATAGAGACAACTCACCTAATACAGGCCCACAACCTACTGAAAGACGACGAGGACAGGGCATTTGGGGAGGAAATTGGATCTATGAGAACGATATCGTCGAAAATGAGAGAAATGATGAGGAAGGAAGAAATGATGGGGATGAGGGGATCCTGACGACACGTCACGGACGAATTATTCGACCCCCCCACCGTTTTGCAGGCCTAACAGACTCGTTCCTAGACTTTGGTCGCGAGCCTAATAAGTTAGTCTCACTCGCCTCTATCGCAGGTATCGAAAGTGATACTTCTCTCATTGATCCTATCTCTCCTGAAGAAGCAGTAAACCGCCCAGATGGCGAGAAGTGGCTGGAATCCATGGAGAAAGAGATATCTAACATCGAATCTAAAGAAACATGGGTGGAAACGGTGTTACCACCGGGTCGTAAAGCCATTGGATGTAAATGGGTATTCAAGGTGAAGACAGATTCAGAAGGAAACTTACTAAAGTATAAATCCAGACTAGTAGCTCAAGGATTCTCACAGGTACCAGGTGTTGATTACGAAGAGACATTCGCACCTGTCGGTAGATCGGGGTCGTTACGAATACTCTTGACTATGGCGGCCACCGAAGATCTCAA